GCCCCTCTGGAGCCAGCACACAGATGGGCCTCACTGAGAGTAGTCATGGTCACTCCCATCAACATCAAGTTGTGACAAGATTCCTTGGCTCCTTTGAACCCCTGCCTGCCTCCCAGGCCTCAGCACCCAGATGTTAGCATCACCCGTGCAGATGGACCTCGCTTTAGGGAAACTCGGCATTTACAAATCCTCGTAGTCATGATTCTTGGGTAGAGGATCATGTGAGACCCCTGAGCCCCTTAGTATCTGCCCTAAAAGAAAGCCGACCCTACAGAGGTCTGTCTGCTAGCAGTCTCCAATGTCCTGAAGGAACTGCGGTGACCTCAGTTCCCACCTGGAGCAGCTTTGCATTGGGCCGATCCCAAAAAGGACTGGGCAACTCTGAGGCGGGTGCCTGGGGTAGGGGCAGCGTCCCTCAAGCACAGAAACCTGATCATCAGGCTCCTTCCAGAAGGTGCCAGAGGTCAGGGAGGAAGGGGTAGGGATAGGTGGGTGCTCAGCTGGAAGGAAGGTGTCCAGGTTAGTGGGCAGGGGCATGTGGCTGGCAGGACAGCTAGGTCCTGTGTCCTGGCCAGGGCCTGTAAGTGAAGCCTCAGGCCGAAGTGAGGGCCTGGGCCAGCTCTGTCACCAAGACACCCTCAAAGTTCCTTCTGAGAAAAGTGTAGGTACTGTGCCTGGTCAGAACACCTCGGGACCCCTTTAAGCCTGGGGTTAGCTGTGAGGCCTGGGCTAGGGACAGTGCTCCAAGCCGTTCTCATCTTAAGGTGACAATAATAAAGGTGCCCACCTGTGTGGTCAGTGAGCACAGCACCCTCCTGCCTGGCTGATGTCTCCCCAGATCTCAGCACGCCCTCGAATGAGGACTGCTGAGGGCAGAGAGGGATGAGGTCTTCTCTGGAGGTGAGACCATCTTGGAGAGAGTTGTCTCTCCTTCCAAGGAGCATGGGTCCTGCCCACTTCCTGTTTCCTGAGGCCCTGATTCCTCCTCGGCAGCCTGTTTGTCACTGACCACCTCACCTCCAGACCCAGAGGTTTGACACCTATGGGACAAGGCCAGGGCCAAGCCTGAGGCTCTGAGGACAGAGAGAACAGCCAAGGAGTCTACTTCCTCCCTCAGACGGAAACAGCAGCAGCTGGGACTCTAAGAGCGTTCAATTCTTCGGGGAATTCCAGGAAGAGCAGAGAGCAGTGTGAGTGCCCTTCTCCCCACTGCCTGCCGAGCCCCGCCCCGGGCTGTCACCTGGCCTCTCCTCCTCAGCCCAGCTCCACGCACCACAGAGCAAGCTGAGAGAGCCAGATGTGTGAAGACTGTAAGTGTGAAGCCTCAGCAGCTCTGGGGTCTGGAGTGCCCCCCCACCCCGCCCCACTTCCCACCCAACTCTGACCTCCACTCCTTTCCTCATGCACCTTTGTATTTGCCTTTCCCTCTGCCTGCAGCACTGTTCCCACCTGGCCTGGGCTCTCTCCCCTCTAGGTGTGAACTCACCTCTGTGGAGTGGCCCTCTACCTGCCCCCGCCCTGACCAGCAGCCCTCCGAGTCCACCTGACTCACAGTGACCCCAGGTTGCTGAGGACTGTACTCCACACACTTTCCAATGGCTTTGACCTTTCAGAAGTAGATTGGGGGGATGAACTTGGATGATCAACCTTTTAGTTAGCAGTAGAGAACATGAATGCTTTGCACCACCCCATTCACAGCTCTCACTTCTGTGTGACGTGTCTGTCGCCCCGGAGCCTCTCAGGGACACACAGCCATGTCAACAAGTGTGTCTGCTGAGGGGAGCTGTTGGTTCCCCAGGCCTGGGTCCTTACAAGACTAACATGAGGGGCTGGGGAAGCAGCAGGTCCTTCTCACGCCTGGGGAGGGTAGAGGAGGGAAGCCGAGGGCTGAGCCAGGACCTACCACTCAGCTACCCTCCCACCTGCCCACAGGGTCCGTGCCTGTGAGCCTGTCATGTGTCATGAATCAAATGTCCCCCAACACACACACACACACACAGAAGAGAAGGTATGTAATGATCTCAGTGAACAAAACAGGTGTAGGCAGATTAAGGGTGGAACGCACACCCCGTTTCTAGTACTGACCTGTTGTTGTTAGGTCCCACAGAGAGCCTATGAACAACTGATCTGAGCCCTGCTCTCTTCTGCGCCGCCCTCATCATGGCGGTTGTTACAGTCATGTGTCGCTCCATCTTGCTGGGGGCAGGGGTCTTCCTCTGACCCTCCACCTTCTCCAGTATGATTCATTCTTGGAAAAGGAAAATATTAGCCTCTCCTGAAAACATACCCCAAATGTGAGATGTAGTTTCATCAGCCTTGCCTCTAAGGAGCACCTCACCACACTTTCTCCAAGACAAACTTGTTGGTTCTTCTAGCGATCCATGGAATATTCAATTCTCTTCAACACCACAATTCAAAGGCACTGCTTTTCCTTCTGTCATCCTTATTCATTGTCTAACTTTCAGATGGATAGGAATTCATTGAAAAGACCATGGTTTGGATCAGGTGCACCTTAGTCTTTAAACTGGCAGTGTTGCTCTTTAGCCCTTTGGAGCGGTCCTTGACGGCCAATTTTCCCAATGCAACACATTTTTTGACTCCTGTTACCCTGGGTGCTGACTGACACCTTCACAGTCCTAGTCAGATGTAAAGAGAGTCCCCTATGGGTGTGACTTGTAAGATCTTTTTACTTACTAGAAATAAAAAGGGAGAAAAAATTAGGCCGGAGGTAGGGTGAGGGACCTTTGTTGTTCTGTGCCATCAACTGACTCCTAACTGGCCATCCTGCAGGTTTTCAGAGGCAGTAAGCCACACAGGAGAGGCTGCCTGCATTTCTCCCGCAGAGCATCTGCTGGATTTGAACCACTTGCCTTTGGATTGGCAGCCTAGCTCCTTACCACTAGGCCACCAGAGCTCTTAGTACTATCAAACCTCCAGGAGTGGAGAGTTTGGGACCTGGGCTGCTGCATGATGCAACTCCTTGATACCAGGGAGTGCCAGCAAGCTTGGAGGGCTCCAGGTAATGCTGGAGGAAGGCCTCCACATGCTGAAGGAAACAAAGACTTTTCTCCACCACTGGTGGAGCAGAGGGCTTTCTCCTAGAGCCATATCCTGAACTCAGAGTCTGAGCTTTCAAACTGTAAGAGGGCAAATTTGTTCATTAATGTCACCCACACGTGTGGTCTTTTACAGCAGCACTAGATGACTAAAACAGTAGAGGCAGATGGTTGGAGTGAAGGGTAGCAGTGACAAGGCCTAGCTGTGCGGGTCTCCCTAGTGTCTGAACTCTGCCTTGATGGGCCCAGGGTGTCTGAGCAAAGAAAGAGTAGTGAAAAGAAGTGATCTTCCAGTGGCTGGACCCAGGTACCACCTGTCCTGGATTCAGCCTGGGGTGAAGGGACAGGCTGCCTACCTGGGTTCTGAGAGGCACCTACTCTCTTCAGGAAATGGCCAGTGACCTGTCATCTCGCTGTGCCCTCTGACCAGGCTGGAGAACCGGCCTGAGCCTGTTTGTGGGGTTCAGGGAGGCCAAGGAAGGAAAGATCACATCAATATTCTTGGAAGACCTCTGACCATCTCCCTCCTCAGCCTGTGCAGTCTTCCCTGTAGGGGAGGGTCACCCTCAGGCCACGGCTGGCTGCATCAGGGAGTCCACCTCAAGTATGGCTCCTAGTCAGAGCCAGGTTGGAACCCACATAGGCTGAGTGTCTGGCTCTGACATGCAGAGTCAAAATCCCGGGGCCTCACAGCTGTCCAGGCATCAGGAGGCCACAGCTCCAGCTCCAGGCCCAGCCCCAGTGGGCACTCTGAGTGAGGCCTGGGGCAGTCTCTCCACCAGAAAAACCACTGAGGAGCACTACCCCCAGGGTGGCCCGGAAGGAGGCCACAAGGAAGAGAGCTTTAACACCAGGAAGGCCTCGGGCAGGGCCACACAAGTGGCTCCCTGTCTCATTTATTCTCTTCTCCTCAATCCACTGAGATAACCCACAGCAAGGTGAAGGGCTGCAGGCGCCAGTCCATGACCACAGCGGCCCTCAGGCTCCATCCTGGGGAATGCAGCTCCGAGGTGGCTGCGCCCCCCCCCAAGGACATCCGCACGGTGAGCAGGTGCAGATTTTTGCTGCCCAGCACTCACCCATTTGGCAGCTGGGGCCTCTCCTTTCAAAGGACATACAGGTACCCAGGACCCAGGTCAGCCGGTCCACACGGGGCGCCAGCTGCCTGCTTTCCCTGTTGAGCCTGTCTGATGGCATCGCCTGAACTGCTGTCACTGGGATAAGGGTGAGAACCAGAGGCCAGAACCTGGGCAGACCAGTGAGACCAGAGGGAGAGGCTGACCCGGGTTAGCAGGGACACTTCCGCCTTTCACCTTTCCACCTAAGCTGATGATCTTCCATTTCCATTAAGCTGAGTAGGTAGAGCTTCTGAGCTCGCCTGTCAGTTAATATCAGCTGTGAGAGACTGCAGTCCCAACACACAGACAGAGGACAGATGGGCAAAGTCCTTGAAGGCTGTGGGGCTTAGGTTGCACCCCTGGCCTGGGGCCCCACATTTACAGCTCTGGGTGTGGTCTGAGTGTCCTGTCTGGAAGACTCTTCAGAACTAAAGGTTGACCCTGGGGGCCTGCTCGTCCAGGCAGGTGGCCCCCGCTGGGTGTGATGGACCCACATCCAGTCCTCCACCTTGCCTCTGGGCGCCAGACTCCAAGGGCTGGCCCCCAGGGGTCACCTGCAGCTTCAGTCAACACGCCTGAAAATGGGGTTTATTCCCCAAAGGCCTAAGTGTTTTTTGGGGGGTTGCTGCTAATGGAAAGATGACAGCCTGAGGTGACTCAGGTGTCCATGTCCAGTGAAAGGCACCGGGGCCAGAGGGAAAGAACAGCTGGCACTGCGCCCACCCCCCTGGGCAGTGTCCTTAGGGGACACTCACGAGCCCTGTGGGGCCTGGCAATGTGCTTGCGTGGATGTAGAGGTGACTTGGAAGTATTCGCAGGCCCTCGGTCAGCTATGAAAGGACGACCAGGCGACGCCCGAGGCGTAGAACTCCACACTGCTGGGCCAGTCGCCTTCTCCATTGCCCTCTCTGTCCTCGTCGGAGTCATCATCGTCCCCGCTGGAGGCTGTGAAGACGGGCCCGGCCAGGTGGGCCTGCTGGCCCGGGGACCCCCGGTGAAGGCCCTGCTCCTCCTCCTCCTCGAGTTTCTGGGCGGCCAGCATGCGGTAGCAGAGGCTGCAGACGCGCAGGGGCTTGGAGGAGAGGCGGGGCAGGAGGAAGCGCTCGCGCGAGCACTCGGCGCAGACCACAAAGCCGCACTGGCGACAGTGGTGGCGCCGCGTGAGCGCCGAGAAGCGCGTCTGCGTGCAGCGCATGCAGATGTCCGTGGCCTTGTCGGGGATCCAGGGCGCCGCGTGCTCCGTGCTGGGCTGGCGGCCCGTGGCCAGCAGCTGGCGGCGCACGCACTCCTCGATGTGGCTGATCCACTCCTGGCGCTCCGTCAGGGACGCGGCCGACACCACGAAGGACTTCTTGGTGGTCTTGATCATCCAGCGGTTCTTGGCCTCCAGCGTCTCGGGCAGCGGTTCCAGCGTCACCTCCTCCAGCGGGATGATGTGCTGGCTGCGGTACTTGCGCTTGCTCAGCACGATGCTGCCGTACACCAGGATGTCGTTGAAGAGGAAGAAGATGCGCGGCTTGGCCTTCTTGCGGCACTCTTTGGTCAGGACGCCCTCGCCCAGCAGCACGCGCCCCGGCAGCGCCAGCGGCTGCCCCGACGCCCCGAAGCAGCTCTCCACGGCCGCGATTCGCTGGCTGTTGATCTCCGTGTTGGCCAGGTGGTCCACCATCTTCGTGGGCTGCTGAGCTACAGAGACAGGGCACCGTCAGCGTGGAGGGGCGGGGACAGGTGGGGATCAGACCACCACCCCATCCCCACCGCCCAGCAAACCAGTCACCCGCTGCGAGTCGGCCTGCCCACCCACCCAAACTCACTGTCTCGGGCCAGGACCCCAGACGCCGACCACAGAGACAAGCAGGACATGGGGTTCTTGGAAGGCAAAAGAATTCCCAGCAAGGGGAGCAGGTAACTGCGGTGTGCACTGGCTTGATTCCCGGGGCCCCTACTTCCTCAGGACCAGGGAGACAGCCTGCATCAGCCTCTGCTGTCCACTCAAGGGGCCAGAAGCAGAGAAGTCCATCCTCCAATTTGCACCCGCCAATGGCCGAGCACTGCTGTTGAGGGCGTTAAGGTGGCACGTTGGCCAGTACTGGAATAGTGGGTGGGTGCAGATCTAGTCATCTCTGACCCCACCGAATCACTGACCAATCCAACCTTCACTGACCCTGCTGCCCACCCACCCGATGAACCCGAGTGTCACCAAAGGTACCTGAGGTTTCACTTTACAGGAGGGACACTGAGTGCTGCCATTTGGGGGGAGCCGAGTCCATGCCCCTGGCAACTGCTGCTGCACTGCATTCTCTGGGGGAGCAGGAGGCCCAGCCTGACACCCCCCACCCCCGCTGGGGCACTCCCTCTGTTCCTGCAGGAGGTCCCCATCCCCACCCTGGCAGACGACATCTGGGACAGCCCACCAGTGCCATGACTTTGAAGAACGCCCACATCCCGGGTCAGGAAATCAGCAGACTACAGACTGAGGATCAACTCCCAAATCCAGCCAGTCTTTCGTTTTTAAAGTTTTATTTTAAACTTTAACTAAAGTTTTATTGGAACAAAACCAACCCCATTCATTTACAGTTGGTGGTGCCATATGTGCAGTACTGCTAATGGACAGGTCAGCAGTTCAAAACCACCAGAGGCTCTGAGGGAGGAAGACGGGCAGTTTCCTCCTGTAATGATTTACAGCCTCAGAAACAGCAGAGAGTTGTGATCCAAATGACAACAGGATGTATGGGGTTGATTGTGTTTTTTTTTTGTTTGTTTGTTTGTTTTTAAACAGTTCTCAAGGGCACTTGTGGTGCAGTGAGCTAAGCACTAGACAGAGTAGTGTACTGTGTAGTATAGTACAGTGAGTCTATTGTTCAAAATAGCTTTCCTAGGTCATTACCTTTGACTCTCGCCACATATCTGGGTGGGGAACATGCAAACAGGTTGCATAGTCTATTCATGAGGAGACTGGCCAGTTTTGCCATTGCACCAGGTTTAAATTGAGCAGATTCAAAGGCAGAAATTAAGAATCTCATTACCAGTAATGAAGAAGAGAGAATGTAGCAGACAGCCTTTGGGGCCAGAGATTTCTGTGCCAGTCAAACCATGAGCACTGGCAGCTGTAGCAGAGAGCCAGCTGACCCGGGTCTAGAGCCAGAGCTGGGACCTTCACCCAAGCTTAGGGGGGCTGGGGGCACAACTGGCAGAACAAAGAGATTTTTGTGAGGCTGGAGATCAAAGGGCTTGTGAGCACACCTAAGAAGCTGTCCTGTCTGCAGAATGGTATCCTGTGGCCAACCTGAATTGTAACCTGTTAACTTCCTTAATAAATTCCATAACCATGAATATGGTTCTGTGAGGTCTGCAGAGCTACTGTAACAGATTTTAGATTCGATAGTAGAGCAGTATAACTGGTATTAGAATTGGTAGAAGTAGGTGTAGGAGTGTGGGTACCATGGGAATTGGCTTTGTGATATGGATGTTGCTGATGGAGACTGTTCGCCTTTGTGAAGTTCGTGGAGATCAACTGTTGCTGTCCCCATTCAGCCGGTACCCTTTTACCAATGGCTAACCAAAAGGTGGTTATTGATATCAGGTGTTAGATTCACCAGGACTTTAATGAACAACAGATTGAACCTGGCCCTATCTGCACCATTCTCATCTGCAGACATACTTGCTCTCACTGCGTCAATCCACCTTGTTAAGGGCCTTTCTTTTTCTGAGGGTCTTTCTCCACCTTTCTCAGCATCATATCTTTGTTTAAGGACTGGCCCAACTTGACAACTTGCTCACGGTATGTGAAATGAAGTGAGTGTTTCTATCGATGCCTCTAGAGTATCCTGGTTGCACTGAGTTCAAGATAGGCTTGTTTGTTTTTTCCTGCAGTCCATGGGATACTCAGTACTCTTCTCAAACACCAAACTGCAGGCACTTCAAAGCCACCTGCTGCTCTATATGGAGAAAGATGGAAGTCTTCTTCTGGAAAGATCCCAACTTTGGAAATCTACAGAAGAGCAGCTTTACTCCACATTACGGAGGTGCCAGGAGTTGGAATCAACTCAGTGGCTCTTGATCCATAGTTGCTCTGACTCTACAAAGGCAGAGCTGAGCAGGGCTGATCCAAAGCCCAAAATACTTACCACCCGGCTTTTCTAAAGAGCTCGGGAGGCCTAGGGGATGAGGAGTTGCACTGCTATCCCAAAGGCAGGTAGTTTGAATGCCCCAGCTGTTCCTCAGGAGAAAGATGGGCAATCTCCTCCTGTGCAACCAATCTACAGCCTTTGTAAACCTGCTGGAGGGTCAGCTATGAGTCAGTTCTGAATGGACAATGAGCGAGTGATGTGGCCCTTGGTAGAAAAAGTTAGCTGATCCCTTCTCTAAGATACCACTCTTCCTTCCTTCCTTTTTTTTTTTTTTTTGTCATTACAGGACTTATCAGAGCCTAAAGCTTACTCATTCATTCTTGATTGATTTTTGTGTTTTCTCTCACTCCCACTCAATTCTAAGCTCCCAGAGAACGGGAGCATTTTTTGGTGGTTGTTCATGGCTGTACCCCCAAGGCTTGGGAGAGTGCCCAGGACACAGGAGGTGCCTGATAGGTGAACGAAGGAGCCTTTCCAGAGCTCTGAGGTCTGACAGGTGTGACTCAGTGCTCACTTCTGAAGAGGAAGTAGGGGAGCGTGCCCCCACTGCTGTTGCACGAGCAGACAGGCCCCTGCAGCAAGCTCTGGCCGGGCTGCTCACTCGCTGGGTTTCTGGGTCACTGAGCTGCAGTTCTGTGAGGGGGCGGGTCACCTGTGGGGTGTCAGAAGGGCCCTAGCACAGGGCTGCAGGCATTGCACAAGGTGGCGGGGCCCCCTGGGTCACGTAGCACCAGCCCTTTCAGACCGCAAGGCGTCCTGTGCTTTGCCGCCCACATCACCTGATGTAAGAACCACCGTTTTTAAGCGGCTTGTCTTGGCTGTGTATTGCAAACATAGTGAATGATCAGGAACTGCCCTGGGCCGTTGTAGCCGCGGCCGATCACTGACTGTGGACAACCCAGCATAAGTAAGATTCTCTCCTGTGATATTTCTGAGTGTCCCCTCCAAGTCCTGAGATGGGAAGGGGCAGGGCTCAGGTGAGGTCCTTGCTGCAGGGGAGCCAAGTGGCCTGTGACGGTCGGTCACACAGCAGCGCTGGCGTGAGATGGAGACAACATAAATGTTTGTCCTCAGGAAACAACGTGATGGTCACGTTCATACAATGGAATTACTCTGGTGGCCGCTTTAAAGGCCAGCCTGTGGACCAGTATGGAGAAAGGGCAAACCAGCAAGTCTGAGCGAAAGCAGCTGAACACACAGGATGTGTATGATGTGACTCTGATTCCTCAGAAATCGCGAACTCTTGGATGTGTTTAAGATTCAGATCTGTGGGTATAAAAGCAGGCAGAATGGGCACAACAAGGACAGGATAGCTGGGGGTAGGGGCTCGGATGTGGCCAGGAACTGGGGCAAGCTGGAGATCAAGAAGTATTTTTATTTAAAAATCCCAACAGCCAGTGTGCAAGCTGGAGATCAAGAAGTATTTTTATTTAAAAATCCCAACAGCCAATGTTAGGAAATTCTAACTCCTGTCAATTCTGAGACCTGAGGACTCTGTTACAGAGTGAAGGATGTTCTCCAAACAGACACGTGGTGATTCTAGGTGGCCCCTGTGGACAGGGCCTTGTTTGGAAAGAAGTCTTTAAGGCTGTCATCGGTCAGGGATGACACAGGGGTGTGGGGGTCCTGGCTCCTCTGTTGTTGGGCACCATTGAGTCAGAACCCAGTCATAGCTGACCCTCCAGCGGGTTTTCAGAGGCAGTTACTCAAACAGGAGACTGTCCTTCCTTCTTTATGGAGCAGCTGGTGGGTTCAAACCTTGTGCCTTTGGGGTTGCAGTGCAGCTTCTTACCACTAGGCCACCAGATGGACAAATTCCTGTTTTTAAAATTACCCTCTTTGTGATGGTTTGTGAAAAAGCAGGCCTAGGAAATGACAAAAATCTTTTTCTAAGGGAGCAGAAGGATTTCATTAGTAAAGACAGTAGCCCGGGTCAAATGGGGACTTGTCTTCTCCATTTCTCTCCCTCACTAAGAAAGGTGGCTGGGCCTTGTCCCTCCCTCTGTGGGCTGGCTGCCTCACAGGCAGGACCGTGGATTCTCTGACACGGTGACACCTGGCAGCTGACAGAGCGCCACTCTCCGGCCGAGGGGCCTCAGGACTGTGCTGAGAACCTGCAGCCCAGCTGCTGGGCGGGCAGAGCCTGGCATGGGTTATCACTGCTGGCCTCTGTGTGCCTGCAGATAAGGCACTTCCTATTCCGATCCTGTTTCCGTTCATGAAAGGGGAAAGGACTTCCTTTTCTAGTGACCCTTCTCTAGTGACCCTGTTGAATCTGACTCACAGCAATGCCACAGGCCGAGGACAATGGCCCCCCAGTGTTTCCAAGGACGTAAACCTTTACTGAAGCAGACAACCTCATCTTTCTCCCTTGGATCGGCCGTGAGTTCAAGCTGCTGACCTTCCGTTTAGCAGCTGCATGCCTCAAACCGCAGAGCCACCAGAGCACCCCTTCTATCTAGCTGTTTTATTACTTAACTGTCTGTGGTGAAGAATGAAGTCTATCTGCAATATTTTCACACACCCGGGGATGCTATCA